AAGCAACGGCTACACTGGATGTAGTTGTACAGGTGCCAAAGCTGCATCAATAGTATAACAAACACGGGGAAATGATATACCAGTCATGCATATTTGATCTAGGGTCTAATAAATTTAACGACCGACGATTTTCGGAGAATGATTTGGCAGCAAAAGTGCAAGAGCATTATCATGCTGTGCAATGCCACCGAATGTGGAAAACCTAGATGCGAACAGTACCGGCCACTAACTGCCGAATCACCCGTAAGTAATTGTTAAAAATCGTTTAGGCTTTTATCTACATTAGAAATAATAACATTTGTAGTATATGGCAGAATGTTGTAGCAAGAAATAGCTCTAGACTCAACTGAAAAAGTAGAAGGGAGCAGATTTCACAAAAGAAATCTGAATGTTCACCTTTATGCACCCAAGAGAGATTCGGTATCTCCTTGCTTTTCATTATCAACCTGACTTCCAATGTAAGCGGACGAGACTAGATAATTATGCTAGCAAATAATTGTTTGATTCACACAGAGCTGAAAATCTACGTTCAGAACAAAGCTGGCATGTAAACATGACGAAGCTATAAAAATTTAGAAAGACAATTACTTTCAGATGACCACCGAAGCACAGAAGAAAAGTTCCAGCAGGAATATGAACAATTACAGAACAACTGCAGTACCACTTGAGGATTACTGCTTGTATAGTATATGCTGACCGAATGTTTTATGCTTAAGGTTTAAAATTTAAGTTTTTATATAACTAATTAATTAGAATGCATGCACAGTCAGTACTATCAGCGATGATGTTTCGATTAGAAAAATTTCTTCTAATAATACCCAAGACCGATTGTCTATTAACCTCGGCATTCTTCAGTATAAATCCTGATTTTCTTCTTTGAGCCAAACACGTGGTGTTACATTAAATTTTAAGTGACAACTGACGTTTCGGCAGTTCGCCTTCTTCAGACCTGGAAAGGTCAAATTCTCCGCAATCCAATCAGTCCGATAACTCCATTATCCCTTTTGAAAAAATTACCAGACGTAGATATCAATTCTCATCAAGCACAAAATCAACTCTCAACATACTCACCGCTTTTTATGAGTGTTCCACCGAATGATTCAAGCAGATCATCACCGGAAGGAGATCGCATAGGCTAGTAATCCGCCCTATTTATCTAATACTATTTTATATTTATATATAAGACTATACAATGTTCTGTCTTTTTGGTGTATGAAAATGTAGCAATTCTGAACACTATTGACATTTCCTGTCGGTATGTCAGATGCTCAAGTAGAAAATGTGAGATAAAAGTGTTGTACCTGGAGTGTTTGGAAGAACTATTTTACACGCCAAAAACGGATTCGAGAGCAATAAAAAAGCAAAATATGGTTACCTTTCGGCACAAGAACTATGTTGACGTTTGAAGAGAAATACTAGAATACAAGAAGGCAAATGAATACATAGGGCATTAATTAGAGGCATACTTGAGCATCCCACTTCTAATGTTCGCGCGGGACGAGCATATTTATATTCGTTTTCTTTCCACACAATCCTTGTGTGTAGAAAAATGTTGCCTTGTGGTTTATAGACAAATGCCAGAGTATCCCACTGAGCAATCCGTAACTGTGAGCATAGTAATTAGCAAAACCGACATTTACTAATTTCGGAATTCTTCTGTGGAACGTTTTTCTGTCTTTATGAGCCGATCACGAACTTTTTACACTATATCTATTCAAACAGGTGGAGTTTTGACGATTTCGCCTCTTTCAGAGCCTGGAAAGATCATGTTTTTGCGGCCCAGGCAGCCGAACACCTTCATTACTTCATTGAAGAGAAAAACATCAAATCTAGATATCAATGCATTATGTACAAAGCAACCCTTTTATGCTTACCCCCTTTTATATATACCAGACTGATTTGTTCAAGTGTAGACCAACCGGGAAGAAATCACACGGACAATTAATTCACCTGCCACATCAAAATGACAGTCTTATATAATGTCCTTTATGACGTGTGATTACGAGGCATTCTTCCATGCGGTTCATGTCTGAACTGAAGGAGCTTATCCAGATCGCTTCTAAAATCTCACGTGCTGCTCTTTTATGTTTCTGTGCAAGGATAGTGCATATAGAAGCAAGGAAAAATTTTACTCCAAAATCCTCTTCGTTACGCGTCTGTGTAATGTGCCAGACTAGAGGGGTACATGGCCTAGTGTTATACTTCTCATCTAGGTGTTATTTTATTCTCAAAAAGTGACTTACTCATGTTGCAGTGTGCTTTTCGCTGCACCCTTTACAAGAGATTAGGCAAATTGTACCTATGCTTATGAAATCACGGTCTAGTCATCAACACAGTATTAATAAGTGCGTGGAACATCACAACGGTCAGCCATGATCTCATGGGAGATTTAAGTCGTGCCTCTTTCTGTGTTTGAAAGCTGGTTCATATCAGAGAAGAAAAGCTGACAGGTTTTTCTGAGGAGGATGTCGATTTTCCAAGCCAGTTTCCGGATTGGAGCATTTGAGCAAAACTTTTCCAATACCAATTTCATGCTCCTGCAGAGAGTGACCTCAGTTCAGTAACGGATGTTGGAATGAGCGAATTCGCTATGCTCCCGACAATAATTCTTTGTACAAGTTCATTATGTTTCTTGCAATAGAATTCTCTCACTGGCGCCGTGCATGCTCTAAACAAATTTCTTCCAGATGGATATCAATATTAGCGACATCAGACGTCATGCTTCTTTTCTTGCTCATTTTCAACATACGACTGTTAGAGATCGAAATGCAGAATGAACCTACATATCACATTAACAATGTGAAGTTTTCCCGAAGGGACCAACGAACGCCTCGCAAGACGTAATGTTTTGGATTTTAGAAAAAAAAGGAAGCATACTTTTGAAATTGTAGTCACAGAAAAGTTGTCTTTCGGTCTGAGTCGGTAAGACTTAGGCGTGAGTTCCGCAGAAAAGGTGGTATCAGTTTCAGTACAAAACAGTAGCATAGCAAAACTTCCATCCGGCTAACCGTAATCTGTCATATAAGGGCGTGTACGAAGCAATGATTAGAGGTAATCGCCGGCGAATATGTGATAGATGATTTGATCCTGTGCTCAGGGCTTGCGAAACCATTTATGCCCAGCGTGTTCGCTCTTTGGAATTTTTTTAGGGTCATGAGCAACAGTGCAGATGTTGGTATCCATCATCCAAAATCATAAAGTAAAACTACAAATGTCCAAAATATATGTACGATACGTATTCTGAGTTTATTTATTGAGATCTTTGGAGATTCCTGTGGAAGATTTTTCTGCATTCAACATTTCGACGACTAGCCCAAAGAATATCCTTTGTCGGTATGATGAGAGATCCGGTTCAGTCTAATATGACCAGTCCGCACTCACGAATCATCAACAATTGCAAACGCACTATTAGGTCAGTTGGTATATTGTACCATCATACCACCGTTGAAGGCGGTCAGATAAAATGAATTCTGTTTGATTAACAACACCCGACATCTGCCAGCACAAGTGGGTTCACTGTCAATAGCGACCACCCAAGCCAGACCGTTGGGGTTGGTCGCAGACAGATAGATGCCTTGTATATCATGGAAAGAGTGATGGCAAAACGGGTATCAGTAGAGCAATAGGCTGGAGCAAGTACTCCCGGATAGAGTGAGATGTGGGTTCGAGTCCCTCCTAACGCAAGGAGTTTTGCACACCACTTCACATTATTGGGTATATTAAACCATCAGTTCTCAAAATCTCTGAGGCTAAGATTATAAGGCTACCTCAGCCTCTGATGCTTTTAATCTTCATAGTCATCCTCGCTATCGAATCACATATCGAAGAACAATCGGAGAACAACAATGACTCTTTAGTAAGTGTAACATGGAATCATCGACACTATAGACTTTATGCAAATGGTAGAAATAGATTCCAATCTAAAGACAGCATAAAGTCAACTGCAGTTGTATCATAAAGTGCTCAGCTGTAGATCATGCACATAGTAACAATGGACCACCCATTTATCTAGCATACACGAAACAATGTGAAAAACAGGGTCATTTATCTGTATTACTGATAAAAAATATTCGTGTGAACTTTTGCAAAGAATGATGTCAATACTTATTTGTTTTTGAACTGCGAGATGGATCATTGTGCCGATAGCGGCTTCCTCGCCAGACCGTCGACGGTTGGCTTTTGTCAGACAACGCGTTATAGCGTAAAAAAAAAGAGTGCTGTACAAAACGAGCGTCGGTGGTGTAAAGCCTAGCGTACGCTCCTGAGAAAAAAATGACATATGGGTTCGAATGCCGGATGATGCAAATGTTTCCGCACAACACCTCACATTATTGGGTATGCCATAACATCATACCACTGCAAGTGGTAGCCAAATAAAAAGAATTTCGACTGATTATCGATGTCCAATGTCTGTCAACACAAGTGGGTTCAATGCCGATAGCGGCTGCCCCGTCAGACCGTCGACTGTTGGTTGTCGGCAGACAACGCGTTATAACTTAAAAAAAGTGCTATACAAAACGAGCGTCGGTGGTGCAACGGTTACCAAACGCTCCCGGAAAGAGTGAGATTTGGGTTCGAATGTCGGCTGATGCAAATGTTTTTGCACAGCACTCCACATTATTGGGTATGCCATAACATCATACCACTGCAAGTAGCAGTCGAATAAAAAAATTCTGACTGATGATTGATATGAAAATTGAGAAAACTTTTCTTGATCAGCTGAAGCGAGTTGGTAAATTAGTCGTAGAAGTTTGGCTGATGTTTCGGTGACTCGCCTTCTTCAGAGCCTGGACGTACGTAGTATTAGTCTCTAATATTGGGGGTGGGGGAGATAGGGAGAAGTGAGTCAATCGTTGCGAAACTCTCGCAAACCTCGGTCGATCGATAAATGTGCTTTTTAGTGTTTTACCAAATTAGAAGTTATAGTATTTCTGCTGCTTTTTTGGCGGTGTTATGATGTTACTTATATAACTAAGAGAATTAAGTGGTGAGCAAAAAACGGCCTCAGTCGGGAATCGAACCCGTGTTTTATCCGATCGTGGGACGCGTGCTCTAGCACCACACCACCGAGGCAAATTTGCACGGCCACTCATTCTTCAACATCTCTATGTTAGCTATCAGCTACCAGCCTTTAACAGGTTTGGTCGGATATGCGATTTCGCTTTATAAATCCCGTTGAGCTGACAGCCATTGTTATGCATAACACTTCGAAATTATAGCATTTCTACTGCTTTTTTAGCACTGTTATGATGTTTCTTACATAACTGAGAGAATTGAGTGGTGAGCAAAAAACACGGCGTCAAGCGGGATTCGAACCTGCGTTTCATCCGATCCAGGGACGCGCGCTTTACCACTACACCACCGAGGCACATTTGCCCGACCACTCATTCATTCCGCCCCTCATTAACCAAATTAGCTTTACAAAACGCTCACACGGCTGATATGAGTGAGGGCTGCGTAGCTCAGTGTTGTCATATCTAAATCCGCACACACCGAAGTTGGCATCTCCGGTCCCGTGTGGATCAAAATTCTACTGTATACCGCCGCGCGCCGGGTGTAGCTCGCTTTCGGCGAGCGTTTATTGACTGTTTTTCAAATCGCGTAGAGCGGTCGCTTCCCGTCATTTCGCGTGAGCGTCCGTCTAGTATGGTTGCGTCTTTCGGTCTCCACAGTCACGGTTGTTCCTCTTCCTTCCTTGTTTCTTCTCTTTTTTTTCTTCTTCTTCTTCCTCTTTGTTCTTTCTTTTCCTTCTATCTTCTCCTCTCTTCCTTGCTTTGGCATTCATTACCCATTAACCTCGCACTTCTTGAATTGAAAGGGTCCCTCATTTTGAGGGTCCGCTTGTCAGTTCTTGCCATTATATCACATCTCTTCGCTTTCATTTTGTCTCTACAATCTTTCAGCCTTTTTCTCTCTAATGTTGGTTTCTCTCCTGCCTGAGGGTTTTTCCCGCTTTTTCTGGGAGTTCTACTGAATGGTGCTTGAGCAGGATTTCCCCGAACATTGAGGTTTTCCTTCAAAGAGCTGTGCTATCGCCGCTACCGCGTGGATTGGAGTAAACTTGTCGCAGGCAAGTCGCCTGCTAGTAGTTAAAATTTCCCGCCACCCATCGGCACGTGACGCGTGGCGCTTCTCCTACCTGCCGTGGGATCGAGCCAGCCAGCGCGTGAGTAGGATGGCCTCTTTGCGCGTAATGATCGCGATCTCTGCCACTGCGCCACCTACTCTATTTCCTAGTGCAGCTCCCTAATTCTTTCCAACCCGCGACACCCGATGACTCGCCTCCGGTATTGAGTAATCCCTGAAAGATGCGTCATGCATTCGCCTTCACTTTATAGTTTCGTTTGAGATGATTGAATGCATATCAGGCCTTTATAATGGCTCGCGATGGCCTCCTGCTGTATCGAGTTAGTGCTGCTTATCCTCCCGGGCAAATCTGAGACCAGTCTCTATCGACTTCGGAACGATGGATGACCTGGTGAACCATGAGTGCAAGATCGGACCATCGACCTCGTGCACGCGCAGAGAGCCTCTAACCACTGCGCTAGATGCGCTCTTGATGGCATATAAATAATTTATCTTTCATCGTCTAAAGGGTGATAGCAGAACGAATGTGCACGTAGCGCAGTGAGTAGCACGCCGCCCGGACAGACTGAGGCGCGGGTTCAGCTCCCGTTGCGGTTCAAAGTTGCGCACACCAGTCAACATTAGTGGATATGCAGTTTTAAGATCATACCACTGCTAAAAGAACGGTTAAATGAGGAATTTTCAATGACTTATTTGATCAGTTACCTTTTCGATAGTTTCTTCGCCGCCTCCTGCTCTTCGAAGATCCAAAGGTTGTCCATCTTTTCTGGCCTCTCTCCTCCTATCTTGATCTGCTTTCGCCAAGCTATCGAATGACTATATATAGCATGGTAGTGAGAGGGCGCGTATGGCGCAGTGATTGGCGGTGCCCTAGGACAGACACGTGGTCGGTGTTTCAGTTCAATCTCACACCCATGGGTCAAAATGTTCTATATCCCTAAGAGAGTGGTGCTTTAGTAGCAGACTTGGCTGAGATGATAGCGGTTCCAACTTGATACATTGATATACCACCCTGGGACATTGTGAGGGGCCAATTCGGGCATTCAATAACTTCTGTTATGCTACGAATCGAATTGAATGCACTTTTCAAAAGTCGGTTACGCCCAGAGCTTCAGCCGTCACCTTCACAGTGGTGGAAAGATTCTGGAGCGTATCCAAAATAGGAGTGTACTCTATAGTGTACACGTCTTATTGAGCGGCCTCACAAACCAAAAGGAACATCTGGGCGGAATGTTTCAATTGAAATGGGACCATCCAAATACGTTGATGTTAGCGAGAAGATTAAGGCGTGCACTTATTTTGCCAACGCCGAAATTTGCAATTTTCCAATGCTTTTACAGATCCCAGATCCATCTTTTTCTCTTAGTCTTCTGGTTACAGTTCCGCAATAAGACATTCCGAGCAAATGGCGTCTTCAATGGGTGGTGGAGATATTAGCAGGAGAATGAGTAAGTGTTCGATTCTTTAATACATCTTATTTCGGTCCTTTTTCTCCAACTTGATGCCTACCTTTTCGGTTACAGAGAAAAAGGATATCCTACATGAATCCAAAGAGAAGCTGGCGGCTCTATCAGTAAGTCTCTTTAACTCATTCCTTTAAGCAGTTCGAGCATTGTTTTTTTGAATGCCGGCCGTAATTTCACTTTGAGGGCCCACTCTGAGGGCCTTATTGGTCTTAGGCTTTGTTGATTTTATTGTTTTACATTATAGAAGACTTAATTACAGCTGAAGCCCGAAAAACCTATTATGGCTGCGAATGTCGCAGCTGGAACGCTGGGCTCTGCGTTCCCTGTTCAGACCAATATCTTTGGTGTGAAATTAGAGTCGCCTGTTTCTATCTGGATATACGACGTCTCGATTTACGCCTCGATCAAAGGAAAGAAGCCGGTGTACTTCACGAAGAAGAGCCGTGACGAGTTCGTTTCTTTCCATTCTAATTTACAGTCAAGCACCTTTTGGACACTTCAAACGCTGTTCATAGCAGAGTGGGTGTGCGTCTCCCTTTTGGGACCATGCGGTGCGTTTTGTACCGGGCCGCGATACGTCATATTTGACTCAGCTGCTGTAATGACGGCATCGCGTCTCTTGGAAGGCAGCAGCCAGTTGCCCATGCATGGATGCAGATGCCACTGCTTGGACTGTCGCGCAAGCGAGGCTCAACGCCGCCTGCTTATCAACGATTTCCTCAAGGGGATACCTGAGGTGTGAACGCTTCGGAGCTCGTCGTTGGCTTAAGATTTCAATAAATAACTAGGATTACGTTTTGATGGGAATGAGGAATGAGGCCCATATTTGTTACTGTTTTTGGCATTTTTGATACCCAACGCGTAGCTTGCCAGGCTCTAGACGTGGGGGCTGGGTACTCACGAGTAGCTTGCCAGTCTCTCTCGGAGGAGCGGGAGGAACTTATTTGTTGGAGGCGACTCCTAACCGCCTCCCATGTACTTCCCAGCCGCTTGATTGCAGGCTTTTGGCCGACTTGACTCGTAGAAATGGAGTTTTGTCAAGTCGGCACTGCAGAAGCAGGGAGCTCGTCCCCTGAATCCACCTGCGTCTCTGGGAAGCACACGGTCGCTTTTGGTTCGCGTTTTATTCCCCTATCCACCACCTGGGGACGCGCCACGTGCCCTCGCGACTAACCGGGCGGGATCCCTCAAAGAGGGAGGTCCGTGGTATGCAGCAGAAACCTGGTCGCTACGTAAGCAGGATGAAAGATCACTTGCCGTTATCGAACGCGCAGTCGAAAGGTCGATGCTAGGAGTTTCTCGTATTTCGCAAATGAGACAAAGGATCCGAACTTCCGACCTACATCAACGATCGAAAATCAGAGACGCCGTTCTACACGCCAGGATATCGAAAATAAAGTGGGCCGGACACGTGATGCGCTTCAACGACAACCGATGGACGAGAGCCGTTACCGACTGGATTCCTCGGGACGTCAAGCGCTCTAAAGGAAGACCACTGACCCGTTGGTCCGATTTCTTCACGAAAGCGATGGAAGAAAGATATGATGCTCAGCGAATTCCTAGAGCAAGGAGGACCCACTGGGCTACTCTTGCACGCGATAGGGAAAAATGGAAGAGTTGCTGGTACCCGCTCGAGTCACTCGACGATCAACGGGACGACAGGTGATACAGGTGATACGTTTTGATACGATATGAGTGTTAGTTTTATGATTTGTATAAAAACTATAACACCTAACCCTTTAAGGACCCTAGGGTACGTTTCGTGCCGATTCGCACCACATTATGGGAAAGCAGGCAGGCAGCCAGACATGCGACACAGACCTGCAGATGTCACCTGTCTGTCAATGGTGGTGCCCAGAGGGTTGAAAGTGTGGCGTGTGTGCTCAGAATACGGGATATGTGAGAGTGTCGTGGGTTGGATGTTGCGTGTTTGCTTGACCGATTCTGTACACACTATCTGCCACGTCGGTGATCCTAAATTCAAAATGATGGAAGTTAACCTTGGAAAAAAGGCACGTGTGGCGCAGTGGTTAGAAGAGGATTTTGTTTTTATGATTGACGGGGAACGCTGGTCGAGACGATTTGCTTGCAATGTCGCAGGGAGCCGATTTTAGGCGTTTCGTCACGCTCCGTGAGATCAATGATCTTTCTGCTCTGTGCTTATAACTCTTTGAGGACGGCGCGCATTCCACGTAATGAACGCTCTGATTTCTTGCTGGGCAACTTTGACGTTGTCTGTATCAGAACTGTAGGAAAAGTTTAGTTCCATCTTTTTGTAGACTTAGGCGTTTATTTTCTTTCTATATTGTTAAATGGATGCGCTGCTAAGTCCAAGCGTTATTAGCACAGGCCTGGGAATGCGAAACGTGATCTTTTCCTGCTCTTCAAGCGCTTTGCGAAAGCCTCTTCAGAACTAGAATTACGTTCAAAATTATCAAAATTTGTGTTATGAAATAGCTACTAAAAGTCTGTTAAAAGAGTATCCCCGAGCCCCAGCCAAGCAGAAAAGTGTGATGCGCC